ATTGTGCCCTATAAGGTTCTGGTTCTCCCAGATATCCACATGGTTCCCTCCCTCAGGGCTCCAGTTCTCTGTTCAAATGTCACTTTATCAGACAGGCCTTTCTTGGCCATCCTGTCTAAAATAGCAACAACAACAGCTCCACCACAGCAATCTACCTGCCTTCCTTCTAACACTATTCTCCTTTGCTGCGTTTTCTCCATTGCACTTACATCTGGCATAGCATATATTTTTACTTGTTTGATTATTTACTATCTCTGCCCTGCAGATTTTTATCTGCTTTGTTCACTTGTATTTCCAGTACTTAAGACAGTTACTGGTACATTTTTAAAAACCCAATAAATATTTGATGAATGAATAAATTAATCCATGTAATTACCCTAAAAAGTGCTGACCTACCCTAGCTGGTGTGTCTAGATTGGTTGGAGTATCATGCCGTGAACCAAAAGGTGGCCAGTTTCATTCCAAGTCAGGGCACATACAAGAATCAACCAATGGCCGAAGCCGGTTTGGCTCAGTGGTAGAGCGTCGGGCTGCGGAGTTAAAGGTCCCAGGTTCGATTCCAGTCAAGGGCATGTACATTGGTTGCGGGCACATCCCCAGTAGGGGGTGTGCAAGAAGCAGCTGGTCGATGTTTCTCGTCGACGTTTTTAGCTCTCTATCTCTCTCCCTTCCTCTCTGTAAAAAAAGAAAAAAGAAAAAAAGAATAATCCAATGGTCCTAGCTGGTTTGGTTCAGTGAATAGAGCATTGGCCTGTGAACTGGGGTCCTGGAAAAAGGCACATGCCTGGGTTGTGAGCTCGATCCCCAGTGAGGAGTGTGCAGAAGGCAGCTGATCAATGATTCTCTTTCATCATTGATGTTTCTATTTCTCTCTCTCTCTCCCTTCCTCTCTGAAATCAATAAAAAAAACCCCTATTTTTAAAAAGAATCAACCGCCAAAACCGGTTTGGCTCAGTGGATAGAGCATCAGCCTGTGGACCGAAATGTCCCAGGTTCGATTCCAGTTAAGGGCATGTACCTTGGTTGTGGGCACATCCCCAGTAGGGGGTGTGCAGGAGGCAGCTGATCGGTGTTTATCTCTCATTGATGTTTCTGACTATCTCCCTTCCTCTCTGTAAAAAATTAATAAAATATATATTTTTAAAAAGAATCAACCAATAAATGCATAAAAAAGTGGAACAACAAATTGATCTCAATTTCTCTGAAAAAAAAAATTAAGCTTGGAGCATAGCGGGTGGGAGGGTCTGAGATACATCTCAGAAATTCTTATGATAAAGGAAACAGTTGAGATTTGTATCCAAGCTCCACAGTTCCTTCATCCTTAACTGGCAAACTTCTAGAGAGTAGGAAGGGGTAGTGGTTCCCATGCATTCATCTAGAAACACTAAGACAAAAATCATTTTTCTCAGGGAGCAGGCAAAGCGCTGAGGGAAGAGGCCTGTTACTTACATGACACAAAGCCCTTACGAAGTCCTTCATGAGGTGCCCTAATTCCCTTATTATGTTACAATATTATCGCATTGGGTATAACCAACATTACTGGTGAGTGTTCAGAATCTTACTGTTCAACAGCACAAAATTTTCCATTTCAGTAAGATTTAAAAGGTCAATTTTTCTGTCGTTTGGAATAACAAATGTGAGACTGCTAAAAACATATATAGGAAAAACAGCTTCACGAAGCTCAGAACCAAAAACTAAGGGGTGAGGAAACTCTCTCTTTTATGGGAATTTTTTTTTCTTTCTTTTTTTCTTTTCTTTTTTTCTTTCATTTTTATGGGAATTTTTAATATGATACTGGTGATAGTGTGAGAAAATTTGATTTTTATAGGGATAGAAATTAGACTAAAATTGTTATTACTGAAAGCCAGTGTCACTATCTAATATATACTGTATATTTATTTAAGAGAAGAAAAGTATTACTTTTGTGTAAATTTCTAATCTGTAGTATAAAACAAATTATATAAGTGAAAAAAAATCATGATTTCTCTAAGGTCATTCATTAAGTAAGGGCATGACTGACCCAAATGCCCTCCATCCTAGTCCTAGACTGAAGCCCCTTGAACTCATGATACCCAGTCTCCCAATTCTTGGCGGTCTTTTCTTTGAGGGTGGAGGTCATCCTGAATGAAGGCAGAAAATGGGACAGGATGGTCTTACATTTCTTGCCTTCTGTTTTCCAAGGCTGAGGCCATTTTGTTCAGAGCACGTGACAAAGCAAGATTACATTGTTTTGGATTATTTTTGTTTATATTAAGAACTATTCAAGATATGTTGTTCTTTAAGGTTCTCCTTGTCTTGCAGAGCTGGGAAGCACAGCTGGAAAAGTCCTAAACATGAGGAATGTGCCAGCAGAGGACTGGAGGGGATGAAGGGCAGCCTGTGAGCACAATCCATCTCTAGTACCTGCCTCCAGTGAAGGGCAGGGAGGGCTGGGGTCTGTGTGGGGAGTCACACAGGGGAAGTCTCTCAGGGCAGGTGGGGAGGATGCTCTGGGAGTTAGTAGGAGCCATGCTGACCAGAGGAGCATCATTTAAAACTTTTCTTACAAAAATACTCAAACAGACACAAAGGTAGAGAGCAGAGTTCTGTGAGCCTTCATATACTTACTTCAACAAAGTTGATTTTGTCACTTTGTTCCTTCTACTCCTTTCGTTCTGTCATTTTTTATTTGCCAAAATACTTAAAATTAAATGTCATTCCACTACATACTTTCATATGCATCTCTAGAAAATAAGAACCTTTTTCTTTTTTTTTTTTACATGACCCCCAAAGCCATTTTCACATCTAACAAAATCAGCACTGATTCCTTGGCATCATAAATACCGTCCATCATTAACTGTCCTCAACTGCCTGGCAATGTCTTTTTACATCTGGGTTGTTCAAATCAGGAACCAAATAAGGTCCTCATATTCCATGTGGCATTTGTCTTGTAATGTCACCTCTCCTCTCCTTCCCCCAGTCGACTGGTTGAAGAAACTGGGTCAGATACCCTTTAGAATGTCCTCCATTCTGGATGTGTCTTCTTACTTCCTCATTGTGTCATTTAATTTGTTCTTCTATCCCTAGTATTTCCTGTCAAATGGAGTTTTGATTAAAATCATGTTCAGTGTTTTGTTTGGCAAGAATCCTTCATAGAGAGAGCTGAATACTTCAGGCTGCACTACATCATGGGTGTGTGGTTGTGGCCCTTTTAGTAATGCTAAGATTCACTGAGGGCTCAGGTGGTGACAGCTTGATTTCTCCATTGTAAATTTCTCCATCAACCATCATACTTGGCTTTATCCATTGAAGATTCTTGCTTTAATCAATTATTTCATAAGGGTTACAAATGCTGATTTTTTTTCTGATTCCATATTCCTTCCATATTAGCTGACATTCTTCCATAAATAAGAAGTTTTCACCACCACTTACAGTTATTGGGTTACCCTAAAATACAGTTTATACAGGAAAGGCAGCATAAATGACTAATTCTTTTTCTATTTAATTGCCAATTTTCAGAAAAAGAAGTTGGGAGAAGCATCATTTTTTAAAAATTTCAGCTTAGAGCTGAATAGGGATAGATGGGGCACCTGTGTCTAACCCTCATTCACTTCAGGAGTGTGTGGGGGACAGACAGATACTAGAGAGCTTGGTGTCCTGGCCCTTGCACAGCAATGAGGTGGGCATGTGACTGACTTGGCAGCTGCAGGATAGAGAGAGAGAAAAAAGAAAGAGAGGTAGGAAGTGAAGAAACAGCTAGACACAGAACACAGGAAGAGAGATAAAGACAGAAAAGGAAACAGAAATGAGAGATCACAAGTGAAATGCACCCAGAAGCAGAATAGGACAGAAAAGCAGAGCAATTCAAGGTGGATTGAAAGACCAAGGAAGAAAATAGACATGAAGACAAAGATTGAGACAAGAAAGGAGAAAGAAAGGACATACATGTTAAGTAGATTTAAAATTAAAAGGGTAAATAGAGGGAGGAAGAATTAGAGCACTAGAAAAGTAGGGAAAACACATATCAAGACATATGTTAGGTCGAAACCGATTTGGCTCAGTGGATAGAGCGTTGGTCTGCAGACTGGAAGGTCCCGGGTTCGATTCCGGTCAAAGGCATGTACCTTGGTTTCGGGCACATCCCCAGTAAGGTGTGTGCAAGAGGCAGCTGATCGATGGCTCTTTCTCATCGATGTTTCTAACTCTCTATCCCTCTCTCTTCCTCTCTGTGAAAAATCAATTATATATATATATATATATGAAGACATACCTTAGGTGAAGGCAGAATGACCCAGTGATAGAGAGAAAGAAGGAAGCAGAAATGGAGAGAGCAACATGGAAAGTCAGAAGGAAAGATAAATGAAGGATAAAGAGAGATAAAAGGGGGGGGGGGACCCACAAAGGGTTCCAGAGAAGGAGTCTGAGAAGAGAAGATTGAAATGTGGAGGCTCAAGAACTCTCAGCTTAGGGTCCAATCCCAGGCAGATACCCAGACTCTCACTTCCAGCTTCCTCAGGGTACTTTCTTCAACCTCCCAGTAGGACTCCCCAGGGACAGGGGACTCAGAACTGGCCATGTCCTGATTCAAGGGTTCCCAGCTTCCCTCACCCCATGCCAGAGCGCAGAGATGTTGCAGATGGGATTAATCCTGGAAGATTGAGGTCATGAAGCTGGGCTGGCACTCAGAGATTTGCAAGACAGGATAGAGAGCACCAGATTCCTAAAAGCAAAGGACCATGTATGATGTCATGATATCCAAGGGAAGGGAGGAGCCAAAACCCCTCTGTTCAGCCTCCTCTTCTGGTCCGAGAGCCACTGACCCATCACCTTTGCCTGATCAAGATGACAGGTAAGGGGCCCAGAGGCTCTTGGGTCAGTTAGGGATATGGGTGGAGGTTCAAGGGACAGAAAATGGCCTCTGGCAGAGGGTCCCCTACCACCTCTACAAGAAGAATATCTTATTTATGGGAACTCAGAGGAGCCAAGGAGGGTCCCCAGGGGAGGCTGATGAGTGGGGGGAAATGGCTAACTTGCTTACCTTTATAAGCCTTGGAGGAAGCTCTGAGAGCAGTTTCCATTCCAAACGTTGCAGAAGAAGAGTTTCTGGAACCAGCAGGAACATGCCCAGACACTAACTTCAAAGCAGATGCCTGTTCTCACCCCCAGGACTGAGGGGGAGGCCAGGGGCTCTGAGCAGTGTGCCGCCTTTACCTCCTGGGTGTGGAGTCCAGGAGCCCCCTCTTCCTCCACCCGGAGCTTCTGCCTCCTGCCTGAGGAAGCAGCCACAGAAGGGCTCCAGAAGACTGACAGTCTCTTTAGGGGGCAACAGCCCGCCTCCCATCCCTAGACTATCAGACAGTGCCAGCGAGAGGCGCGTTGTCCCCTGAAGCAGCAGCTGCAGTGGCCCATGGAGCCTGGAGGCCCCCAGGCAGGCCCTCTGCCACAGCCACAGTGCTTACTATAGGCCAAACAGCAGCTGGGACAGGCAGACCGACCCTTGGCACCAGGGTAAATGGGGCAAGGTGAGGGATGGCAGTAGGTCAAGTGAGGATCAGAGCATGGGACACAAGTGCTATAGTGACAAGTTGAGGGAGGACAGGCAGGGCAGGAGCAGGTGCAGGGTGGGCCAGGGAGGCTGGGACAGGAGGGGCAGGGAGCTGCGTCAGAGGGACAGGCAGTGCAGCTGCAGGTGGGAGGAGGACAGGCGGGGCAGGGGCAGGCACAGGCAGAGGGAGGACAGGACAGACAAGGAGAGGCAGCTGGTGGGACATGCCCAGAGGGTGCAGGAGGTTGCTGGTGGGTGGCCTTCTTGTTTCTCGGCCCCAAATGTAGGCCCAGAGAGAAGTCCATTCAGCTGCAGGATCTGCCAGGCTGGGAGTTGAGGGAAGGGGGGCAGGGGTAGAGTAGGAGGGGCAGACTGAGGTGGGGATGGGGGTGGTGGTGGGGGGAGGGGTACAGGATTAAACCTAAGACACTACTGATCCTTGTTGATCCTTCAGGGAGCTCAGACCTCTCCAATCAGCCCTCTTCTTGCAGGCCTGCCCAGCACTGCGCCCCTGCGGAGCTCCTCTCCACTGGAAGCCTCTCTCTGCACCAGACCACAGTGTGCCCTTCAAAGCGGGTGGGCATTTGCATGCCTTCAGTACTTGCTCACACTGTTCCTTCAGCTCGGAGTGCCTTTTCTCTTTTCTCCACCAGGCAAGGTCCTATCGTCTCTGAACTCTTCCTTTTCTTTTAATCAAAAAGTCTCCAGGCCTGACACCTGCTAGGGTAAGGATCCCAGCCCATTACTCTCCAGCCCGAATAGAATAGCTGTTTCAGGATCCCAAACTGTCCCCAGAGGGACTAGGGAAGCAGCAGCAGCAGCAGTAGCAGCAGTGCTCTGAGACTGAGCCAGGGATACTGGTAGGAGCTGGCAGCAGAGGGGGATGCCCGGGCTCTGGGTGTTTCCAGAAGGAGCAAGTCCCAGGTGTGGGTGTGGGGATGCCTGGCTGCCTCTGGGAGACTGACAAGCAGCCTGGAAATACAGCTCAGTTTCCTCTTTCATTGAGCTTCCATAAAAGTGAGGGGTGGCGTTGGATGGATATTAAAACCAAACAGGTAGCGCTGGCTGGTGTGGCTCACTCAGCTGGCGTGTTCTCCAGTACACCAGATGGTGGTGGTTCCATTCCTGGTCAGGGCACATGCCCAGGTTTTGGGCTGAATCCCCATTGGGGTGAAGGGGAGTGCAGAAAGCAGCCGATCAGTGATTCTCTCTTATCATCGAGGTTTCTATCTCTCTCCCCCTCTCCCTTCCTCTCTAAAATCAATAAAAACATATTTAAAATAAATAAACAAATGGCTGTTTTTTAAAAAACCAAATAGGTAAACAAACAAATACATTAGCTTATTTCAGAGCATGCAAATGGTGATGAAAAAAGCAGGGTGGCTGAAACCGGTTTGGCTCAGTGGATAGAGCGTCGGCCTGCGGACTGAAGGGTCCCGGATTCAATTCCGGTCAAGGTCATGTACCTTGGTTGCAGGCATATCCCCAGTGGGGGACGTGCAAGAGGCAGCTGATCGATGAGTCTCTCTCATCGATGTTTCTAGCTTTCTCTCTCTCTCCCTTTCTCTCTGTAAAAAATCAATAAAATATATTTTAAAAAGAAAAAGTAAGAAAGAAAGAAAGAAAAAAGCAGGGTGATGTGATAAAAAGTGACTCAGAGAAGTGGATTCATCAGAAGGGGCAGCTAGACAGCTCCCAAATAGTCAGGTATTACAGCCCTTAAGGGTTTGGAAGAGATAAAATCTGTCAAGCCCTGGCCGACCATGGGAGGGCTGCCTGAGGCTGAATGGAACCCAGGAGAGACACAAGTCTAAGGGGATAAGGGTTGCTGGAGATTGCAATCTAAAACCCGATGGTTAGGGAAAGTGCTACTGAGAAATGACATTTTAGCAAAGACCTAAAAGCGAGGGAGCAAGTCATGGAGATCTCTGGTGCAAGAAAACCCCAGAGAGGGGGACAGCAGGTGCAAAGACCAAAGAGGAGTCATAATGGCAGAGGTAGAGAGCAAGGCAGAGGCCATGGGAGTCATGGTAGGGACCTGGATCTTATTCCAAGAAGAAGGGAAAACCAAAGGGTTTTCGGCAAGAAAGTATTCAGGTCTTCTTGACTCTCTGCCTGCCCCTGGTTAGAATGTTCTGCTTCCTGAGAAACTGGTACAGTCATTCTGGGGGAAAGTTTGGCTTTATCTGATAAAGATGAGATTGCCTCTACATACACTTTGACTTTTAGATTTGTAGCCTCAAAAATCCTTTATTTAAATTTTTATTGATTTCTTAGGGAGGAAGGGAGAGGGAGAGAGAGAAACAGTGATGTGAGGGAGAAATATATTTTTATTGATTTCAGAGAGGAAGGAAGAGGGAGAGAGAAATAGAAACATCCACTATGAGAGAGAATCATGGATCTCCTGCCTCCTGGGGATGGAGCCCACAACCCGGGCATGTGTCCTTGACCAGAATCGAACCTGGGACCCTTCAGTTCGCAGGCCGATGCTCTATCCACTGAGCCAAACTGGCTAGGGCAAGGGAGAAATATTAATTGGTTGCCTCCTGTATGCACCCATGTTGCTAGGAATTGAACAGGCACCCTCTTGCATGTATTTACTGGGAAACATGTACAAAAATATTTTTAGCAATATTATGATAGCCCAAGTCATGCACCAACAATAGAGTAAAAAAATAAATTGTGCTACTATGGAAAACAGTAAAAATTAAAAATAGAATCACCATATGACCCATCCATCCCACTTCTAGGTATTAATCCAAAGAAATCCAAAACATTAATTAGCAAAGATATATGCACTCCTATTTTCATAACCATAGCCAAGATATAAAAGAAACCTATATGTCCATTGATATATTATTGGATAAAAAAAATTGGTACATATACACAATGGAATATTATTGAGTCATAAAAATTTACCATTTGTGACAACATGGATGGACTCAGAGGGTATTATGCTAAGTGAAATAATCAGAAAGAGAAATATAAATACCATATTATTTTGTTTATATGTGGAATATAAAAACAACATAAACAAACAAACAAAACAGAAACAAACTCATAGATACAGAGAACAAACTGAGGGTTGCCAAATGGGAGCGGGGTTGGGAGACTGGATGAAATTAAGGGATTAAGAAGTACAATTTGGTAGTTACAAAGTGGTCATATGGATGTAAAGTACAGCATAGGAAATATAGTCAATAATATTGTGATAACTATGTATGGGGCTAGGTGGTACTAGACTTTTTTTGGGGATTGCTTCCTAAGTTATATAAATGCCTAATCACTGTGTCGTATACATGAAACTAGTATGTTAAATATCAATTATAATTTAAAAATTAAAAATAATAAGTAAATTGTGATATTCACACAACTGAATATTGCCCAATGATGAAAAAGATCAACTTGGGTATATCTCACAAATAAAATAAAAACAAAAAAGTAATATAATATCATTCCATTTATATAAACCTCAAAAATGGGCCAAGTGGAGCTATCGTGTTTACAGATGCACACATAGGTGCTAAAACTATGAAGAAAAACAAGGAAATAATGATCTCAAAAGTCAAGATGGTGGTTACTTCTTAGAGTACAGAAGGAATTATGGAAGGGACACCTGAGATGTAGGAAATACTCTTTCTTGGGTAGCAGTTGAATAGGTATTTATTTTATTCCACTGTTCATAATATATTTATATACTCTTTCAGAAGGAGAAAATAAAAGTACCTCTTCTTTTTCTACTGCACGCCACCTCATTCAAATCATTCATGTTGAAGTTAGACAGTCCTAGTCCCTTTCCAATATTTCCTTTTTAAAATATGTATATTTTTTATTGATTTCAGAGAGGAAGAGAGAGACAGAAACATCAATGATGAGAGAGAATCAATTGCTTCTGCACAGCCCACACCGGGGGTCGAGCCTGCTACCTGGGCATTGAACCATGATCTCCTGGTTCATGGGTCAACAATCAACCACCTAGCCACACTGCTCAGACACCTTTTCTGTATTTCTGGCACCTCTCATTGCCTGATAGCCAGCAGATGCTCGATAACTAGTTGCTGAATGGGATTAAATTGAACTTCCCCAAGTCTCTCATTCCACATAGAGGTGAGCAGCTGCAGAAGAGGAGGAATACTTCCCGCCCTGGCGTGGCTCAGTGGTGAGCACCAACCTATGAACCAGGAAGTCACGGTTTGATTCCCAATCAGGGCACATGCCTGAGCTGTGGGCTTGATCCCCAGTAGGGGGCATGCAGGAGGCAGCTGATCAGTGATCCTCATCATTCATGTTTCTATCTCTCTCTCTTCCTCTCTCTGAAATAAATAAAAACATATTAAAAAAAAAAAAAAAAGAGGAGAAAGCCAGCTGTGTTGAAGAGGATCCCTAAGATCTGGGTTCTCATCATAGCTCTGCCACTTCCTAGTTGTGTGATATTGGGTAAGTCATTTAATCTCTCTGGTTCTCAGCTCCCTCTTCTGTGAAATGAATATGATGTGAAATGGGTATGATAACTGCTAACTCTCTGGACTTCGGCGTGGATTAAGTGAGTATTGCATATGCCTAGCATAATGTCTGGAACATTTAGGTGCTCAGCAAAGGATAGCTTCCCAATGCCCTCCTCCCAGCATCTTTTCTTCAAAGGAGTCCACTAGAAAGGGTCAGCCAAACGTCAAAGATGGTACCAGAGTGTGGCCCACATCCTTGGGCCCCTTGGGATTAAGGTGGAGACGGAGTCTGGTCAAGAGCTAGCAGATAGAGAGAGCTGATTGAAGCTGAACAGATCCCGGGCCGTTGGTGGGAGCTGGCAAGGTTAGTGGGACAGGGTCTGGGAATTTCCATCTAGGGGAAGTCCCAGGTGTAGGTGAAGGGGTGCCAAATTGGCCTCACCCAACACACTGGCCCCAGGGGATGTGGGCACAAGGAGGAAAGTGGGTCAGAGCAAGGCTGGAACTTAACCCCATTGGTCCCATGACCTCTTTACCAGTTATGGAGGAGGCACAGCCCCAGAGAAGCCTGCTCCCTCCTCCTTTTCTTCAGAAAGGAAGTACATGGGAATGTTGGGGTGTGAGCATGAGGCACTGGAAGCCCCCCAATGGAGAGAGGAGAGGTAGCCTTCTAACGCCCAGATGGAGGTTCTGTACAAAACAGACTCTTCAACCCACCCACATGGTGACTGGCAGACACCTGGAGCACTCACCTCACATGCACTCCAGGCAACTGTGGAGGCAGACATGCTCCTCCTCCCAGGGGTAAGACAGGTCAGGGCTGGATGGAGAGGTGGGAGGGTGCATGGGAGAACAGCTCAGATGAGCTTCGGTGAGACTCCAACTGCGCAAACACAGGCATTCTCACCCTGAGGGCTTTGCCAGCAACTCAGGGTCTTGTTTTCTGTGTATAATCTTAGGTCTAAGCCTGTGGATTCCTCTTCCCTATCTGAGCCTCTGCTTCCTTTTCTGAAGGAGGAGATGAAAGAATGGATGGAATCATTCCAGGGCAGGGTGTTCCAGGGTCCTGCTTGGCCATTAAGAGGTGCTTTGGCCATCCCTCGTTTGTAGCATATCTAAAGCGAGGTGGGCAGAGGAATGGAGGGACCCTCTTCTTTCTGGGGGAGCAGGATGGCTGGGAGCCAGGATTCCAGTTCCAGGGCCTTTGCACATACTTTTCTGCCCACGCTCCCTTCTCTTCACTCTACGCCTCACTCTTTCCTAGAAACCTTTCCTAATTTCCTTGGCTGGAGACAAACCCTGCTCCTATCCATTCTCATGTACCTTATGCCTCTCCACACTGGTTATCACTTACAATTTTGCAAATTGTTTGGTTAGTGTCTGACTCCTCCCCCAGACTAGGGGTTTACAGGGGCCTAGTACAGTGCGTGGTATACACTGGATGCTTAATAAAGACTTGTTGAATTCATAAAAAGTGCGAGTTTAGGGAAGAAATTTCTAGAATTGTTTAGGCTAGTTTTAAATTTTTGTGTTTAAAAAAAATCAAAGCTTTATTCTGTGTGGGATCTGGGCAGCACAAAGGCTGGTAAGGGCCATCCACACACAAACTCATTCACCAGGACAGCCAAGAAACTGGCAAGCAGATTAGGCCTGGTACAAGGGGTGGGACTGAGTAAGTGCAGGGGTAACAT